ATATTTTTATGTCCAAAAATGAATTTCTTATTGAACATACAGTACAAGCTAAATTTTACATAACCATTACGATCATTATCTAATTAATTGAGTGTGCTACTTGAGAACACCCTTAATTGGAAAATTGTTTCACCCGAAACGCCTAACTATATACATATCACTAAATGAAAATTTTTTTCTTGTTGTTTTCTAAATGGCATGTTGTTAAAGTTTGATCACTATAGGATGCATACAAAGTGTTATTCAACATCGAGTTGGTGCATTTAGGGAGGTGGTACATTTAGGGGGTTTGGATCAAAATTCTGATAAACAAAATTATAAAGTTAGCCAGAATTAGCTTAAATTTTGGTAAATTTTTTTTTTTTTAGAAATTTACATTTACGGAGATCGTAGTTTCTATGAATTTAGTTTGGCATTTAAACTATGTTCAATAAAAAATTTAGCTTGTACTGTATGTTCAATAAGAAATTCATTTTTGGACATAAAAATATGGAGATATAAAAACTTTATATGTCCAAATTTGTCCAAATAAAAAAAAATTCATATGTCCAATTCCAACACTGTCTATAAGAATAAAACAATAACCCTTATTTACTATTCTTATGAAAAAGTTAAAGTTATAACATTTAAAATCAGATGATTTTAATTTAATACTATATTGGTTCATTTTTTGGCTTATCGTTATAGATTTTTTTGATCATGCTGACGATTATATGTAACTGTTATTTGATCGGCCGCCTAGCGGGCCGATCAATTGGCAGTTACAGGTTATTGGTACTTGTTATAATAAGCCAAAATATTATTACGTATTACTAATTCATTACTAATTCTTTCCACATGATTTTTATATCCCAAAATAAAATGATAAATTCCGGAGCATGGGCTCTTGAATGGAGTATTACGTATACAGTGGTAAATGGTAAGTGGTAAATGGTAAGTGGTAAATGGTAAGTGGTAAATGGTAAGTGGTAAGTGGTAAGTGGTAAGTGGTAAATAGTAAGTGGTAAATGGTAAGTGGTAAGTGGTAAGTGGTAAACGTATTATTATGAGGATATTATGAGGATTTAATCATGTGATACAGTAAATTCTGCTTGGATACGATTACATAATCATGTGGTAAACAGGAAAAAAAAAGGTAAAAAAGTAAAGCCGACATACTGTGTCCCCTATCGCTATACACAAAATGAAAGTCATCTATCTTAAGTTGCACACCCATTAAAGTTACATACACTTCGATACCAAATCAGGCCAGAAGAATAGGAAGTTTTTTGCAGGTACATACGTAATACAGAAGTAATACTCCTAATATAGTTATTTTGTCATTCTTAATAACGACTCTTACGTCTTCCAAAAACATTACGCCTCATTTACCTGTATATTAAACTAGATTTAGGAATCGAAACTAACGCCTCATCTTATCATTATTAGTGGGCAGTGTAGGTAATTGATCGATAATTTGTTTACATGTCGCACTGCGGTGTTTCCCTATAGTGTATAACTATAGAATAACTATAGTCGTATAACTATAGTATATAAAAGATACCCAATATGAAACAATAGTTACATAGTAAAATTTTACGTACGTAGGGCCGAAAAATTTTATTATACAATGCATGCATGAAGATCTAATTTCTTTTGGGGTATAATTATTAGGTCAGATGCTTTTTCTAGGCGTTAAATTTTTAATAAAAGATCGATCGTATGATTAAAAAGAATAATTACTAGTTAGATCACTATTATTTAACTATTATTTAATGTATTTCTGTATTTTTAATGTATTTTATTTTTTTAATAAGCTTCTTAATCATTTTCGAAAATACTGTACGTATAAAAAAATTTAACCAATTGTTTTAATAGTATTTACAGCATTGTTTGTTTAGTGCATAATGTCATTCCCTTTTAAAACCATATTAACCATTGTTACTTTTATTTTAAAATATTACACGTGTATAATATAATTGCCTCCAAATCCGGAAATACGTGAAACAACTTAAATCTCATGATTGGTCATGTTTTATATTGCGCCATGTTTTTTTTGTGTTATTGATTAAAATAAAATATATATGTAAAATATATTATATATATGTAGAATAGCTGGAGTACCGTGAAAATAATAAATTCCTTGTGTGTGTGTATTTTTTTTTTTTTTACCACTGATTATTGCAAGTCTTTTTTACTATCGATTAAAATAATAACTGAAAATTATTGAAAAAAAAAGTACTGAAAAACATACTAAAAAAAATACTGAAAAAAATATTGAAAAAAAAGTACTTGAAAATAATATATAAAATAAAAATTATAATAATTGAAAAATAAAAATTAAAATAATAATATATTTATAAAATGAACATGGTAAGTACTATAATAATTAATAATGATGATGATCGTTTAACCCTTTTTTTTCTCTTTCTAATCTTTTTTCTTTTTTTTAATTTTTTTTAATAAAAAAAGGATTCAATGTTCTTTTTACCAGAGTGTCTTGAAAATGTTTTTAAATTTCTTCAAGAGGATGAAAAGGCTTTATTCTCATCTATACTCGTGAATCGTTTTTGGTGTAGAACCGTGGTACCAATATTATGGAGAAATCCATTTCAACTTGTTAAAGAAGCAAACACCAGCAAACTTATCAGTACTTATATTCGTTGCTTACAAATTAATCCTAAACCTGATTATCTTTCGGATGTATTAATTTTAAAAGATGGTCAAAATGTTTTACAAAAATTATTGAAAAATCCTTCAAATTTAACCTTCGATTATCCTTACTTTCTAAGAGAATTAAGTTGCTCTAAAATTAATGAACTCGTTATGAAATGGTTATGCTCCGTTATTTATGACTCTAATTGGAATAAAAACGATCAAAAAGACTTTTGTGCAAAATGGTTCTCAAATAATCTTATTAGACTTTTTATGAACAAAAGTCCAAACGTAGAAAGTCTTGTTATTCAATCTGATGATTATCATTATAATGGTGACTTTTCTTTTGATAGATGTACTGATAATGGTTATGCAGCTCTTAGAATATTACATCTTGATTATTGTTGCGATGGTCATACTTTAAGATCTATTTCATCTACTTGTCACTCAATAGAAGAATTATGGATTTCTTTAACTGAACATTCAAGAGAAACTCATTCTTTAAATGAGTTAATTAAATCTCAAAAAGGTATAAAAGACTTTAGACTTCGTAGTGTTTATTATAATGAAAAAGTCTTTGTTATTACTCCTGAATTACTTGAAGCTTTATCTGCTCAAAAACGAACTCTTCATACTGTACAATTCTTTTGTTGTAAATTTCATCAATGTCCAACTCTTAAACCACTCGCTGAATGTACTAAACTTGAAAGATTGGGCTTTTTTAATTGTGATGGTCTAACTGAAGAAATTATTAGACCTTTAGCAAATGGTTCTCTAAGAAATTTAATCGTATTAGCTATGGCTGTGTATGATGGATTCACTGAAAAGGCTATAGTAGAAATTATTGAATCAGCTCATCAAAATTTGAAAAGAATTTCATTACCAATGGCAACAAAAACAAATAATATTAGAAATGTTTTCACTAGTATAAGACCATTTGTTAAAAATTTAACTGGAATTACCGTTTGTTTCTCTTCTGGTGATAACAAAAGTTTTGAATCATTTTTATTATTATTGGATGTTTGTACAAATTTAGAATCACTTTGTATAGAAGGTGGTGATACTGCTGGTAATCCATTGGATTTTGATGATAAAGAAATGTCAACTTACTTTGAACAATTAGCTATCAAGATGCCATTATCTATAAATCGTTTAGTACTTTATAATGTTTCAGTTTCACCACAATTACTTCAAACTTTTCTTGAAAAAATGAGTTCTCCTATTAGATTTTTAGGTTTATATGGATGTTTTATGATTAGTGATGCTCATATTAACGAAATTGTGAAATATGTTGAAAGAACTGGATATTTGAAAAATTTAACCGTAAATTGGTGTTTTTTGGTCACTGACAAAGCGGTAGAAGAAGCTCTTAGAGTTATAGGTGAAGTTCATTTTAGTGATGTTGAACCTTATGATATGGAATTCACTGCGTGGTTAGCATAATTTTCTTATTAATTTTCTTATGAGAATTGAATATGTGGGAATTGAACGTTCGGGAACTGAATGAATGTATGAGTGAGAATTGAATGTATGAAATTGAATGTGAGAATCGAATGTATGAGAATTGATGAATGTATGAGAATTGAATGTATGAGAATTGATGCGTGTATTTATATAATATATATTTATATTTATATTTATATAATATATATTTATATTTATATTTATATAATATATACGTTTTATATCATTTCTTTCTTTCTTTCTTTCTTTCGTTTTTGCTTGCAAGTAATTATTATATATTTATATTTATATTTATAGACTTAATAATTCATTTTTAGAAGTTCACATAAAGGTCATATACTTAGTCTATGTGTTTCTTCACTATTGTATTATAAGTTTTCGTGCATTTTTTATATAATCTTAATTTTATGCATTATAATAAATTTGTCGAGTTTAAGTATTAAAAATTGCGGGAAATTTTTTTTAGTGAATTTTAAAGTACGCACGCACGTACTATTTTTCTGTTGGTTCATTTCATAACAGAGGAAAAAAGGGAGTTAGTTATATTAGAAGAAAAAAAAAAATTTGTCTCGAATTTATAAATTTTACGCATATTCTTTATGGCAGAAAAATTTGGTACACTGCATTATTTTATTAAATATTTCTAAAAGAGTATATATTAATTAAGGATCGTCAAGATCCGCGAAATCACTCTCAATGGGTAAATCTACGTTATGATTTTTTTTTTTTTTTACTTAACTATAAACAGAATTAGTATTGATAAATCATAAAAAGTTTACCAATGATATAACTATATTAGAGATTTTTTAATTAATTTCATTTTATCTATATTTCAGTATTTACAATATTTAATATATGTATATATTAATTTATTTAATTAATTGCAATGATCTGGTTAAAAACTTCTTTTTTATCATACTCTCAGACTCTGGGTACTCGACTTTCTAAATTATAACGTCACAAAGTTACATCAGATTTAACGCACTGTCTTGCTTTGTAGATAAAAAGAATGAATAATTTTATTAAAGTTTCATTAAATCTTTTTTTTCTTGATCTCTTCCTAATCCAACAAAACAAAAGATAAAAAAAAAAAAAAAACAACAAAAAATTGAGAATCCTTATTCTTTTCTTAAAGAATATAAAAAGGTAAAAGCACTTATTACTCTTTTATTTATATATATTATTTAACCATCGATTAAAAAAAAAAAATTTGGTTATTTATTCAAAAAAAGGTTTCCAAAATTAAAAATGGTTCAGACAAGACGTTATAAAGCAAAATCAAATCCATCTATCGAACAAATTGAACAAATTGAACAAAAAGACGATTCTAATTCTTTACAACAAACTTCAACATCATATGTAAACAAATTTTCACCACTCTGTACACTTCCTCCGGAAACTTTTTTACAAATTTGTAAAAATTTATCACCAGCTGATTTACTTTCTCTTTCGAGAACTTGTAAATTATTTTATAATGATCTTTGTTGTGAAGATTCTTTAACTATTCAAGGAATTTGGAGACAATCTCGTTATTCTTTTATGCCCTATCGTAAACTTGTACCACCTGAAGGAATGAGCGAGAGACAATATGTTAGATTTTTATTAGAGAATAAATGTCATTTTTGCGGACGTAAGAGTAAATCTACCAAAATTTATTGGGAACGTAAAGTTCGTTGTTGTGCGGAATGCTTGGAAACGCGTATGGTCAGGTGTGTATATATCGATATATATTCTTTTTTAAAATTTTTTAAAAATCTTATTCACTTTTTTTTTGTTTACTTTTTATAGATGTGATAACAACAAGATGGATTCTCAAGATATTGAACCAATTATTCTTCAGATATTACATTGTAGATGGGATAAGAATGGTACAAGAATTTATTGGAAGGATCAAATTATTGAAAAAATTAAAGAGATTGAACCTTTATCACAACCTGATCGTATAGAATGGGGAGAACAACAATATAAAAAATTTAAACAAAATGAAAGAGAACTTAATAGGCGTAACTTAGAAGATAATAGTGCAAGACGTCAACAACGATATGAAAGAAAACAAATTATTGATGAAAAGTTAAATGAAATGATGTCGGAAACTAATGAAAATGGCTCTCTAATTTGGATTCGCGCTTATCTTGAAAAATGTTCATCTTTGTCAAAGGCATACAAATATAATCGTCCTTTCACTGAAAGATCATGGTATGTATATTATGTATATAGTAGTAAATAATAGTAAATATTTTTTTTCTTTATTTCTAACTAACTCGATTGAATAATTATAATAGGAAAATTCTCAAGCAAAAATTAGTTCGAGAATATTGTGAAATGTTGGACGTTGAAGAAAACGAGGATGTTGATTTTACTTGTAGTGATTATTGTGATTATTTGAGCGATTTGGATAATAATAACCCTGAAGGCAAAATCTAAAATCATTGATTTGAATTATATGAACGTTATGTGAACATTTTTTTTTAAATTTCAAACCTTTCAAAAAAAAAAAAATTTGTTTCATATTATGCTTGATTGCTTATATCAGTCTCTCCTCATGTATATTAAGCAAAGTCAGTTCTGCAGTTTCGCTTCATTTGTCATGCATAGTAACTCATTCATCATTTAGCATTAAACTTGATATTGATATAAACATTATAGAAGTAGCATAATTTACACTCATTTATTTATGTTATAAAAAAAATGTGTTCTGAATAGATAAATAATCGTATAGCAATTTGATTGGAAGATAAAATGGATAATAAAAGGAACACTCTTGTGAGATTTTCCTTCTTTCATAACGATAATGTAAAGTAAAAGGTGTTCAAAATTATAAGTGGTACGAAATTATAATATTAACTTATAATTTAGGTCGAGTCAAAAAATATATATGAATTCATGTAACATCGAAAGTAAATCTTTCCAGGCAGTAATATAAACGATAAACGAGAAAAACTTATCAACTTTTAACCAAAACTTTAAAATAAATACTTTCTCTATTAAAGATTATTTACAACTAACACTTTTATTATACAATCAAGTCGTGCATATTCCTGAAATCATGAGCTTTCCTATCATTCGGATCATAACCATATAAATAAACGATTATCACACTTTCGTCCTGTAGAAAAAAGTTTCATTATTGTGTCACATCTCTTTAAAATGATCCAAAAGTAATTATTTGTCATTACATTACAAAAATATTACGATGTCATGTCGAATCTTTCAAAGACTAAAAATACTAATAATTTACTTTCCTTAAAATTAAATGCTCATTTAAAGTCTTAATCTTTATAAAGAACAGGAACTTTCGAGTAACTTACTATGATAAGTCAGTGCATCTCGTTCCAAACAAAAACCAACACTACGCATATCATTCCTATACAATATTTAACATAATTTTATTAGCATATTAATAAATTTCATAAATATAATTATATAGCAGTCAAACCTACCCAAATACATTTGCCATCGTCTTCTAATAATAAACCATAGTTTCATTTCTTGTTCTGCTTTGTCCAAATTAAAAGTTGCAACATTGCCATTTTCAAATAATGTAACTGACAAATTTAAAATAAAATATATAAACATTAGTTAACGAAAAAAATAAATAGTCCGATTAGAAAAATTTCGAATAATAAATGAACCTGCTTACATAGAATATTTTCAGTAACATTCTTTCCTACATATCCGGGTTGTAATTTAGAAATATTTAATGTTTTTACCGCTATAATGCCCTACATATACAGTATATACAATAATAATAATAATAATAATAATAATATTTTTTATTTATAATTAAATAACAACTTATGAAAGTAATATATTTTATCTTACCAGATCAGATTGACTCACGAAATCTAAATAAGATGATGTAATAACCATCCTCAATTCCCAATTTTCTCCATTTACACTTGTTGCACGATTTGAATTATTTATTTGATTGTCATCTATTAATCTATAAAACCAACCTTTTCTTGAACGTGTTGATGAAGGTAAATGGATATCAGCAAGTCCTCGTTTAAATATTAATATGTAATTTTCCTAATAATTATAAATGTTTGATAACCTTGCACAACTTAAAATTAATATATTATATTAAAATATTTACCTGGGTAATAAGAAGTAGTATATTACCATTAGCATTAACCTCGGCTCCTACAACTTGAAATGGTGATTCTTCAAGAACTGGTAAGTATTCACTACGAACTATATAAGCTTCTTTACTATAAGAATCTTGTTTAGAATCTGATGTAGATGTCGCATTACTATAATCAAAGGTGAATAAAATGTCATTCAAAGCAATGCATATCGTTGTCATGTTACGTGCCGTCACTATTGAAAAAAAAATTAAGTTTGGAATTAAATAACTAAAAAAACCAATAATTATCAATTATAATTAGTTACAATAATTGTTATAAGAATTATAAAATTTACCAACAATTGGTTTTGGAACTGTTATAGGTGATGCGGGAGTTATAAAATCAAATTGTTCGTATTCTGCTCTTTTGGGTGAACTTTGAGTATACTACTTAAGAAAAAAGTTATATATCATGTAAATTAATGATAGATTATATTATATATTATTATTGTATTAAAAGTTCTACCGAAATTAATTTTTTAATTCGCCAACTGGAATCATCAACGGACGAAGAATTATGAATAACTGTCACTTGAAAAGTCCATGATTCTTCATCTGCTGTTATTTCTGCATTCATAATACGAATAACTCCAGATCTTTTCAGGATAAGGTAATAATAAAATTTAATTGCAACTTCGATATACTAAGTTATGTTAAAAAGAATATACTCACGCTGCATACACACGACGATATGTCAATGCTTTTCTCTTCGATGGTTCTTCTCGTGCGATTCCTATAATATAAATTTGTCATAAAATTAAATGTCAAAATATTTTACTAAATGCGCTTAATTTATGCTAAATACTGACTTTGAGTTGGTCCTAATTCACCAGACTTTATAATTAATACCTCATTTTGTCGCTTGCCATTTTCAAATATATTTCGAGGTATTTGAATTGTCCGAAACTTGGCATTATCTGGATACCTACGAAATTTGGAGAACAACGTTTCTTACGGATTACACCTTTATACATGTATATGTGTACTTAAAAAATATAAAACAAAAAGATTACCTTGAATATAAAATCAAAGATTCCTCTACATGAAACGATTTAATTTTTGTTGTACCAGGCATAATTAAATCTTGATATTTAAATGATGGATAGTTGTGACATGTATGAGAAGGTTTCTTACACTCTAATAATGAATAATAGTAATTATACATAAATTAAATTGTAAATATAACCAAAAATGAAAATAAAAAAACTAACCATCATAATCAAAGTCAGAGCTTCCTGATTCAAAATTTCCTATACTGTATAATCTCAAAACATATTGAATTTGTTCTTGTTCTTGTTTTTGATATAATACTCCTAACGCATTATTTTCATCGAAACCATAATTTGATGTAATCTGGGTATATTCACTATAATAACTTGAAGTATGTGTTATTGGGCCTTCCAAACGATGAATATAAAGAAGTTGCCATTCTACAAAATTATACATTATATATATATATATATATATATATCAGTACTAACTCTTGATATCCTTCAGAGATCTAGGTTCACCGAATCAAAGAAAATTATACATACTATTATTTGGATCAAAATTATTATTAGAAGATAGAAGTAGATGTAATGGACGCCTATATTGCTTAATGAGCCCTACAAGAGCATAAGGATCATTTCTAATTCATATAATAAATAATTATTTGTACCGCCCCATTTTACACATACCAGTAGCATCATCATATTCTGATCCATATCCTTTCCATATAGCTGTTAAATAAACCCAATCGTTTTGCGCACTAATGAATATCCCGTCAGGTTTATGAATTTCATACCCAAATATTACATCTCTCGTTAATATTATATTTCGAGGATAAGGAAAAGGTGCTTTATGTAATGATATTATCCAATATATAAATGTTATGCCCACTGCAAACATAATCAATGGACGATATCGTGTCATTATTGGTTAACTGTCTAATTTAATAACAAATTTAAAATAAAATGATAATTTCGGTATTATTTTTAATTCCTTTTTTTTTTTTTTTTTATATATTAATCGACCAATTTTTTAATTCCTGAAATAGAACTAGTAAAAACTATTTTAAAATCAGGGATTTCCGATGAATTATACTCATTTATTAGATAATTTCAATCTCCAGAATAGGTAAACATCTCAATTTTATACGCACAATCTTTAAATTGTTAAATTGGTTTGATATTTTTCATTCGAAAATGCGGAAAAATGCAGAACTTTAAAGAAAATGGAACTCGCAACTAATTTATATAAATTATTTTGTCGATCAATTACACGTAACCATTCATGTGACTAATTCTTAACAATATTAACGCACTAACGCTATATATATAAAGGCTACATTTGACAAATTTTAGCCACTTTATTTTGGTTAACGTTAATAATTACATATTTTATTAATTTACGTAGCAATATAATAGATACCTTCTTTTTTTTTTTTATTCGGTTATGGCAACATTTATCCACTTTCAATTATAAAATAGAATAGTAATTCTTTTTTAAATATATATTTGTTTATCTTACGATATCTTACTACGTTAAAGTGGAATGTCTGTCCGTCCGTCAACATCAGCCAATCAGAGCTTTCCATTTAATGATCATAATCAGATTATATAATCGAATAGTTAATTTATTGCGTGATTCTTTAACTTGTAAAGTTTATTTGCGATGTATATAATCGGATTACATAATCGAGTAGTTAATTTATTGCGTGTTTCTTGTAGCTAATATGAATAACTAATGTATGTAATATTCTAAGTGCACATATACTTATGTCAATATTTATATTCTAAAGACATATCAACAATAAAATATAGTATAATCCATGATGCAATCATTTCTTCGGTTATATATATTACACTAATTCATAATCTTCTTACCTCCTTACTACGTTAAAGCTCATTGTCCGTACCTCAACACCAGCCAATCAGAGCTTTCCATTAAATGATCATCAAAATTACTATGGTCAGATTACATAATTGATGTCACATGATTGAATATATATATACGGTACAGCAAAGTAATAACTTTAATTGTACGTGATATTTAAGGGCAATAAAAAATCAATAAAGGAAATTTATTATTCCAATTCTGGAATAAAATTGAATATGTATACATAAAAAAATAAAAATTAAAACATTAAAGATTAATGCCTAAGTCAATAAATTAAAAGAAATTTTACATGTGTATAGGAAACCTATCCATATAGCCATTAATATAACATCCTAACTCTATACCTTCACACACCTATTTTTTTTTGATATTTTCTATTTAAGCAGTATAATGAATGAATAATTAATTGTCATTATAATTAATTTATTGCATGATTCTCTAACATGCAAATTTATTTGTGATTCATACAATAATAAATAGTGCTCTGAATAGGTCTGGTTGACAATTTTCGGGTTAGAGCCTCAAACTTGACCCAAAAATTTTAGAGATAATATATTAACTTTTTTTTTAAAAAAAATGAGTATAATTGCCTTTTTTGCTCTTAAGCATTTAATAATTTATATAATAATCATTATCGAAGTTGGCTAATAAAATCTAAGTGCAGTATGCTTATAAACTCAGCGGGCTGGTAAAAATCATGCATTGCACATTCAGAATCAATGAAAGCTTTTTTTTATTTTTATTCTATGGAATTAATATAAAAAAACTACTGATTTTGCTGTCAAGAAATTATTATTCGAAGTTAAGCAATTATTGAAACAAAGTCAACAGTTAAGTTTTTCCAAACTTTGATCGATAATACCATGATAACTGCCCACCTAAAATCAATAAAAACTTTTTATTTTTATTCTATGATATGGATTATATTAAGATATTATCGTTCAAAGTTTGAAAAAAGTATATTAATTTTATTAACTTGAGATATCAACAAATATACACAAATCAGATCTCTTCGAAGAATCAAACTAATTTTAATATATGTAATAATTTAAAGTAAAAAATCTTACTATATTAAATTTAGATTAAAAATTAGAAAATTTTTATATTAGAGTGCAGAATATGGTTTTATAATCGAAATTTCAAGTTGTGTATTGTTTTTCACATTATACCTGCCTAGTTTTCTTAATAACTCTAGCTGTAGTAACTAAACTTAACGCAGATTTTTGACTTTGATTGGCTAAGAGTAGTGGCCAAGAAATTTGGCCAGAATTACTCAGAATTCTACTAATGAAACTAGATGTGAAGTTAGTAAGAAAACAATAAACTGCTGTAAAGCATAGAAGAAGAGTAATGTTTAGCATAAAAAAACTATCACAGTCCACCTTTGTATTATTAAGCTTTTTATTTTACTAATATTTTCCTCTTAAAGCAGATATTGGGCAAATAGATTAAATTTTATATTATATATATATATTCGATAATTAAATGCTACAAATAAAAATTTAAACTAAATTGTTACTACAACTATTTTACCTTTGACAAAATACAATTTTTATAAACATACTTCAAAATAAAGTGTGACATGTAGTGACACGTAAGGAGCTAGTAATTTTTTAAACAAATCTAGGATTTGGCATGCTATATACTTAGCATATACTGTATTTAAGTAACAAATAGATTTTTAAAATATTATCTGATAAATTAGATTATATAAATAAAGCTATAATAAAGTTTATTATTTAATATATTTCAAATACTATTATGACATGTTAATAGTAGTATAATTATTACTGTATAATATATAAATGTATTAAGGTTTTTATATAATAATTTTTTTTTTACAATTTTCAAGTCACTATTTTTTATTTTATTTTTATATTTGCTATAATACTAGCATATAAAAAATTTTTTAAAAAAGAATAATACTGTATTTATAGTAATTAAAAGTTGTTACTTTTATAAATAACAATTTTAAATTTTAAATCTTATTAGTAATAAGATTTAAAAAATTTATTTATAAACTTTTTTAATTTACACTACGTAGTGTATAATACATGGGTATAACTTGTAAATCAATAATATAAAATTAAATAATTGCTTCTCATAATATAAAATTCTAAAAATAACTTGCTTGTCTAGCTTTTAATTTTTAAATCATAAAAATTTTATAAGGTTTCTTTGTCTAAAAAATATTAAAAAATATAAAAATTTTTATTAAAAACTTATTTAGAAGTATTTATAGTAAATAATTTATAAAATTTTGTATTAAAAGTTTACAAAAGCTAATCTAGTTGAGTTATAAAAAACCCTATCATATTTTTTTGAAATGAACAGATATTATATATCAAAAGTATTTAGTCTTTGAATATACAGTAGTTACCAAATCTTAAAAGACATTATCAAGAATTTTTTATAAAAAAATTCTTACCAATTCTTAAAAGTGAAGCTAAACAATTTAACATAGCTAAAATAGTTTTTTTCAAAGCTTTTTAAAACTTGTTAAAAAATATTATTAGTAAAGTAGTGCTAGAAAAATGATTGAAGTAGTATTATTAAAATATGAAATTAAATAATTATTATAGAATTAAATTTTTAATTTTCATTAGTTAATTAAGTTTTAAAATTTTAATAGTTTCAAATTTCAGACTTTTAGTTAAGTTTAGACAAGTTTTAAAAAGAAAATAATATCTAAAACTAGTAATATCAGTTTTGGTTTTAGCCAACTTTAAACTATAAAGTTTTAATAGTATTATTTTTTTTAAAAAAAAATTCGGCAGTCATGCTTTAGCTTTATTAGGCTTTGTACAATTCCTCTAGAATATATAAAATTTTACAACTAGACATTTAGAAAGTAAGTGATAAACTCTAGACTTGTTGGCAGATAGCGTATAAGAACTATCTCTAAACGACAAGCACTATAGCCCACATTGTTACCTAAATTACAAGTTAAGACTAACCCAGTTACCAACTTGGCACCTATGTTCGACCTGCTATAGCAAGATTTCTCTTCTTTCAGACCCCTCCTGCAATTGGATATGACCCGGCTCTCAACAGTGGACCTTGCTAGTGATATTACCCGGGTCACAAAATAGTGATCCGGGTTAATAAAGTTCGGGTCAGATACTAACCCGGGTCATAACCCGGATTATATGGGTTAGCCAATCAGAGCTATCTCCCATGCATTTTTATTATCCTAGCCAATCAGCGCAAACTATGTTTTACAACAAAACTGAATCTCCCTTATTCTAGCCAATCAGTGCAAGCTACGTTTTACTTATGCATAACAGCATAACAAGTGAATAGATTATCGTTTAATTAAAAAAAAATCTAAAGTCAACCGTCGAAGCAA